GTTTTTATTCTTCTTCTTCTTCTTCTTCTTCTTCTTCTTCTTCTTCTTCTTCTTCTTCTTCTTCTTCTTCTTCTTCTTCTTCTTCTTCTTCTTCTTCTTTTTCTTTTTCGTCAACTGTTCAGACTTGAAAAAAACACAGAAAAAACAAAACAATCAAAGCGTGTATGAATGAAAAGATATGAGTACAGTTTGGCAATTCTTCTTTGTCTCTCAGATCACAGATTACAAGTCTGGTATTTTCAAGCACAAAGTGGACAAAGTCATAGCAAAAACTCGCGTTGACAAGGTGTCTGCAGGTGGCCAGCTCGATTCAGTGTACAACGGATTGAAGATACCTCACAATTCGCCACCCTCTCATCTCCACGGCTGCAAGTACATTCACGTCAGATACGTAGTTGAGGTGAGGTTATGGCCATATTACTCAGACTAATTTTGACAAAAGTTGAAACCACTCTAACCCACCAAAAATGTATTTAAAAAACCGCCCTCAACAAAACAGCAAACACATTCCATGAACAAACTTATGCAAAACGGAATGAGTCAGCTTAGAAATCAAACACATGACACGTTACCTAATCTAAAACATATGAAGTTGCGAGCGCCGAAAAATCTTACTAAAACTATAACAATCTAAATCATCCATCCAACCAAAGAACACTCCGCCACATTTGCCAAGCAATTTTCACCTTTTAGAAAACCAATCAACCAGCTATCACCTGAGTGACGAAATAACCTTCCAAAAATACATTCAAACAAACATGATAGATAGGACTGACATTCAGACTAGACAGTTTGACAAGGTTTTCTCTCATAATAAGTTATCTAGTTTTCAGAGAGAAGGGTTCCCTCTAACTTGTCTAATCGAGAGCTTAACGCCTCGACACAATTCACTTCATTAAAGGACGCGGGTTTCGATCCTACTTGCAGGCCTGTCGAGAGGGGGGATCAGGAGGGCCAATGCCCAGGGTCCCGGGGGTTTGGGGGGCTCGCAAGCAAGGGGAAAAGAGAGAGGAAAAAGAGAGAGAAAGAAAGAGAGAGGGGGAGAGAGAGAGGGGAGAGAGAGAGAGAGAGAGAGAGAGAGAGAGAGAGAGAGAGAGAGAGAGAGAGAGAGCGTATGTTGGTATGTAATAGATATGCTACAGTAAAGTGATTATATATGCCTATGTACATTGTATTTTTGGGTTATTAAATTGCAGGTGAGGGCGGGTGAGACCGGGGGGAGGAGGGGCCCGAAGGTGATTGCTGCCCCAGGGCCCGACCAGGCTCTCGACGGCACTGGTGCTGGGCACCCAATATACCTTTTTGTTAGCTTGGTTTTTTTAAAGAGTGTTTTTTTCTGTTCGCGATTCAGCCAGCCCGTACACTTATAACAAACATCTACTGCCGGGATCTTGATTTGAAAAGAACCCCCACCTGCTTTTCAAGTGTGCCGGCTTTCAGTCCTTACAATTTTGTGCTTGCACATAGGCAGCTTTAAGAATGATTACAAAATTGATTTGAGAAAAAACAGGCTTGCTTAGAGGTTTGAATCTATTTTTTTTTAAACAAATTATTTGTTTTTGCATTTAATGACGTTTGCGGTGTTCGTTGAACCGTGGGAAACACGCGCAACGTTCGTACTTCCTAATGATAATATACGAAACTGGAGCGCTGAAATCGACCTATATGTGCCAATGCTCTCAAAAAAGCGCCTTACTTCTTC